CTTTTAATCCCCTTTCTCCTGCTCTTCCCGCTTGCTACTTCGGGCGTCCCTGAGTTGTCTCTCCTCACCTGTAACCCTGGGGCTGACCCAGGGTTGAGCACCTACTATGTACTAAGCATTTTATTTTACTTCATTAACTTTAAATCTTCACAGTGGCCCATAAGGTGATATTATCACCAAATTATAGAAAAAGATATGAATGTTCAGAGAAGTTAAATAATTTGTTCAAGTAGTATTGGAGCTGAGATTTGAACTTGGGTCTCTGATTTCAAAGCTATTGTTTTCTCCTACTGCTGTGTTTTGCTAGCTCTGTGGCATTCTGCCCTTTATTGGTAGTTGTATGAGATTGAGAATCACGATGTCTTTATCATTCAGTAAATATTTGTGGAATGAATAAAAAGGGGGGGTTATAATAGAAATACTCATTGACAGGTTTGGGAAATAACCATTTTTAGCAAAAGGATCTACATAGCTAATGACAGAGCATTGACTCAAGTTGGGCTGTTGGGTCAATGCCCTGTTCTTCATTGTAAGTCATATGACACCTACTTCTATGCAGTGAGCATTTGTTAGAGTTAAATGAAATACTGATGATAAAATCTGTGCTATAGGGAGTGATTGTGTCTCCCTTTCTCTGTGATTTGATTTTCTGTTGGTTATACATGTTGAGTAGGAACTATCTCCTTGTTTACTACTAAATACTGTAAATAAGAAACCATAATTGGTTTCCTCCCACTTGTGTTTTACATGGTTGATATATTTAAGGTTATTAACAGCCGAGATGATCAATGCTTCTTTTGTGGCAGGGAGTCGTCGCATGGTGGATGTCATGGATGTGAACACACAGAAAGGCATTGAAATGACCATGGCTCAGTGGACACGCTACTATGAGACCCCAGAGGAGGAGAGAGAGAAGCTCTATAATGTCATCAGCCTGGAGTTCAGCCATACCCGGCTGGAGAACATGGTGCAAAGGCCCTCTACGGTGAGTCTGGTCATTTTCCACATTGTCACTGTCACCAAGAGGGTTGTTTAGATACTGGAAATGTTTATCACGTTTTGTATATACTAGGATTAAGATAAAGGTGAATAGGACAGTTTGACAAGAGTAACTTGTAGTTTTAGTGTGTTCTGCGTTTTCCACAATCACTTAATTTTAGGTAGACAGGAGTCATTCTGGTTTGCATAGTCTCACTGCCTGTAACTTAATTTAAGAACTTGGCTACAGCATATAATGGGAAGACTCTTAAGATTAACTGTTACGAGGATCAGCAGTGGGAGGTTTGCCTGAGGAACATCTGTCCTGTAGTTTGACACTTGTTGAAAAGCTGGGAGATTGCTTTAGAGACAAGTGATCATTTTATGAGGTGGTTGCTTGAGAAGGATGACTCGGAACAGTAGAAAGCCAGCCCGTCCTCCGAGGAAGTGAGCTGACTGTGGGGCTGATCTTTTGCTGTCCTGCTGGTGGATGCTGGTTTAGCTCATCTTGAGGCAGAGCAGTGACGGCCTGCGGGGTCCTGGGAGTGCTTATTCCCCTAAGGGGCTTGCTTTCACTTCTGGAATACACCTGGTCATATTTGCACCTAGGCTTTCCTGAGTCAGAACTCCCTTGAGCCAAGTATTCCACCTGGAACAGTGGAACTTGGAATACTCTTGTCATTTTATTAAAGTCAAGCTCTCAGAAGTTTATCCTAGCTCCATTCAAAGTATACTAACGCATTTAATTTTCAGAGTTGAAATGTAGCAATAGCTTATAACATCATTACTTAATACCTACATTCCTGTAGCCTGCTTCTTTGTTTTGGTGGGGGGGGGGCACCATTCTTATCACTGACAAACTGATATGTATAGACTGAGGTAGAGGGTGTTCTCAGTATTTCTGTCTGAACCATATTTCCTGTCATTGCTTCTTATTACTGGAGAGGAGGCAGCGAAATGCAGGATTTCTCATTAGGCAGGTTTCTTTTCCCCAGAATGACTAGAATTCTTTTTATATTATCATTGCTTGTTTGATCATGTGGAAGTAGAGGAAAACAGTGGTTAGAATTTAGCTTTCTTGTTAAGCAAACATGGTCCACTTAAACTAATTACTTCAGAAGTAAAGAATTCAGTAAGAGAGGGATATGAGAATCACAATAACATTGTTTATAACTTTATTTCCTTATTATTTTTAGACTCTCAGTTTAAACGTAGTACGATCATAGCTGTAAAAATTTAGAAATGTGTGGCTGCTCACAAATTGCCTTCTCTGTACCATCATGCATGTATTCATTTTGTCCTTAGTGTTAGTGATAAAAATGCTACATCATTTTATAAAAATGGAGCATTAGAACCTATGAAAGGGTCAGAAATAGAAGATTATTCAGGGGTCCGAGGCCACGCTGCACCAGTATCTTCCAGGGACCTAAATATAGACAGTGAGATTGAGTGAGGCATTGGTAAGGCTGCTCCTGAAAACAAGCCTGTTCTGACCTTGCTGTCTCAGCAGTAACGTACTTATTCTACTCGAATTTTGTCCAGCAAACTATAGCCATCCGTTTATCTAGGTCTGCTGTAATAGCTCAGTAATTTTTTTTTAAGGCCAACTTTATTGCAATACAGTTGACATATGATAAAATGCATCCATTTTCCGTGTACATTTTGATGAATTGCGACAAGTGCATTCACTGTGTAACCACCACCAAAATCGAGATATAGAACATTTCCTGTTGGTGTTTCTCAGACCTAGAGCTTCTTGTCTCTTACAGTCCTCACCACCTCGAGCATGAGCTTACTGGTTCACCAAGTGCCTACCATGTGCTTAAAGCACACTGCTAGGTGCTTAGAGCCACAGTGGAAAAGAAGATCACTCTTGTCTTCAAAATGCTTAACTTCTTATGAGGAACAAAATAGGTGTTTATGTAAACTACTTACTATATGGTAAGTGCTTCAAAAGTAAATAAAGAAGCAGCATTGTGAGAGCACATAGGAAGGGCCCACCTACCCTAGCTGGAGGAATTAGTTCCTGAGTTTGACATAAAGGAAAAAATGAGGCAAAGAGGGTGAAGAGTAAAACTCTAGGGTGAAGCATGTATAAAAGTAGGTGCAGGGAAGGAAATGTTGGCAGCTTTTAAGTGGTCATACTGGGTGTTAGCATAAAGAGGAATTTCCTGGCGAAAAGAGGTCATTTAGTGAGAGGGAGGTAACATTTGGCAAAACGTACAATCTGCAGATTTGGTTTGTGATGGGGGAGCTAGTTCGTGGAAAGCTGTAAGATGTTTTTGCACAGTGTATGGGGATGTTGTTGTTAGAGTGGTATGCCATCGAGTGGATTCTGACCTAGCGTGATTGTCTAGGACAGAGTAGAGCTGCCCTGTAGAGTTTCCTAGGCTGAGATATTTACAGGAGCAGATTGCCAGGTCTTTTCTCCTACAGAGCAGCTGGTGTGTTTGAACCAGTGACCTTTTTGGTTAGCAGCTGAGTTGGCTTATCCATTGCACCACCAGAGTTCCTTATGGGTATATTAAGTCTGAGGTCTTGGACTTCTTGCCAGTTTAGCCATGGTATTGGTGCAGAGCAGACAGAAACTGGTGATTATCCTTAGTGGGGACTGGCTCTCAGGTGAATCAGGCCATTTAGCAAAAGGCCTTTCCAGAGGCTAAGGATTAACCTAAGAAGAAAAGTATGAGCATGTTGTCACCATATTCTTTCTGTAGTCATATGATACCTAATAGTACCAAGTCAGAGGAGGACAGAATGAATGACTTGTTGCTACAGGTAAGAAATTCTAGTCAGAGAAATTCAGCTTTCTCTAAATGAACACTTGGTAAAAAAAAAAAATATTCATGTGTTCCCACATCTTCTTCCTGTTATCCAGACATAAGTGGGTCAGTGTTCTGGGCCCAGTGGATACTGGGTTAAAACTGTTGGTTCCCTGAGCAGAAATCCTTCGAAATGGAGCAGCAGACTTTAATAGTTACTCCTGACCTTGCTTGTTTCTTCCTTGTCATTGGTGATCCCTTTCAGACATGCCTGTGGGTAACAGCTGGATGTTCCCTGGACTCCTGAATCATAAACACATTTGTCTAGATACATACTGTTCAGATTTGTAGATTTTCTCATAAAGCTCACCAGCTGCATATTTTTCAGGCTGTAAGTTAGGTATTTGCAGCATCAGCACTCAGGGTTGTTGACTCACACACCTTATTCACCTGTGCAAAAAGGGCATGGAGGTGGCCTCTTCTGACCTTCTCTAACTTCACAGGAGGAAGCCAGAATCACCATCAGCAGCCCAAGGCTTATTTCTATGAGGCCAGACAAGCTGCCACCCTCCAGCCTTTTACTAATTCTGACACCAACCGTCCCTCCCACAGCACTCACTCTTTCTCTGCTGGGTTCAATAATTTGTTGCAGTGGCCACACAGAACTCACAGACAATATTCACGATGATGGGGTTTATTGTGGAAGTAACAGGCTACAGTTCAGGTTCAGGAATGTGCTCAGGATACACTTCTTTAATCAGGGCAGTCTCTCCTCTGCTGTGCCCTCAGACACGCCTCTCTGGCCTTTGGCCTCTCAGCCTGGCCTCTGCCTCTGTGGGCCAGGTAAGCTTGCTGCTGTGTCTCATGCCTCTTGTTTCCCCTGCCACCATCTCTCTACCAGGGTATCTCTCAGCCAAGGAGGTCCAGGGCAGGGATCTCAGGTCCAGGGATGCGTTCTACTTCACCCCCAGCTCTTCTCTCTTGATGGCAGTGAGATCCCCTCTCTGCCTCTAAAACCAAAGACCAAACTCATCGCCATCGAGTTGGATCTGACTCATGGCGACCCCTCCTTGGGTTTCCGAATCTAGGGAAGTAGATTGCCCAATCTTCCTTCCTCTAGGAAGGCCCATTTTGAGCCTGGCAGAGTGACAAGGCTAACCAACGCCAACATCAGAGTTCTCCACACCTTATTTGCATGGTCCCTCCCGATAATCTGGTGGGGCTTACAAAGACTGTGGCTAGTAAAGCCCCACCAAGGCATTCACTGCAGTGCAGCCTAAGACTGTTGCTTAGAGTTCAGTGGTTGAGTGCAGGTATTTGAGCGTACAGGATATGTTACAGCTCAGTGGAAAGTATTGGATTAAAATGTTACTTTTTTCTCCTCATTTCTTTCAGTAAATGTTATTTAAAAGTTTCCTAAGCTCTAATAACATTGTTTCAAATTTGTGACACTTAAATTTACATTTAATTCTTGCAACATCTCTTTGAACTGATTGTCTTCATTTTTCAGGTAAGTTTCAGGCACTTGGATGATCTTGAAGAAACATGACAGAGCTGGAGTTTCTGATTCCTAACCTCATAGTTTCTATCCCCCATTGCTCATGCAGGGCTCCAGGTCAACCTCTTGCTCTTCCGCTCTCTTGCTCGCTCTCTTGCTCTCTCTCTCTCTCTCTCTCTCTCTCTGTTTCTGTCTCTTGCTCTGTCTTTGTCTCTCGCTCTGGTTCTGGCTCTCACTCTTCCTCTCTACCTTAGCTGAGCTTATCTTGCCCTAACTGCTCTAACAGTGGTATGTCTTTTGGTAAATTTCAAGTACCTTTGAGACAGCATCTTTTACAGATCCAAAAAAAAAAGCAGCAAATTATACCAGTGTTGATACGAAGAATGACCTTACATCATTTAATGACTCCATTTTGATTAGTGTTGTCTTTTTAATCATGTGGATGCAACCCTTCGTCTTTATCCTAATTTAATAGTTATTTCTAGAATATTTGCCTATTGCCCCTAAGATTCACCAACATATTGCAATTTGCCTCTAATTGTAATCTTTCAGTATATATTCTGAGAAATTGTATTTCTCTTGTCTTTAAATTCTCTTTAACCCTGACCTTCCTTTGAACCCTAAATGTTTTCCCTTTCTTTCTAAAGGTGGATTTTATTGACTGGGTAGACAACATGTGGCCACGGCATTTGAAGGAGAGTCAGACTGAATCAACAAATGCCATCCTGGAGATGCAGTATCCGAAAGTGCAGAAGTAAGGGACTCCCTGCATCCCCTCAGGGTGCTTGGGGAGAGCACAGTGATAGCAAGAGATGGGTCCTCCCCCAGGAGAGTCACTCATGTCCCGAATGATCCAAAAGATGAATTATTGAAAGGGTAGGCTTTTACACTTCCCAAGGACAGTGTGTATAAGAGTGCCATAGCTCGTAATCACCAGATTCTATCCTTCTGGCAGTGTGATGGCTTGAGATTGTGTTCCTCTCATGGAATGGGAGTACCCTGGGTGTGGGGAGGAGTCCACAGGGCAGTGTACATTGTAGCAAGGTGGGCCTCTCATTCTCACCAGTGCACTAATGCTGCTGCTTTTTCTGGGTCAGGTACTGTCTAATGAGTGTTCGAGGCTGCTATACTGACTTCCATGTGGACTTTGGTGGTACCTCTGTTTGGTATCACATCCATCAAGGGGGAAAGGTACGGTCATAGTTGTGATGGGGGTTGGACTCTGAAGCTGGTTGTGTGACTAAGCTTCAATTCATGCATGCTTCATATACCCTAAAGGTGAATCTCAGGATATTGTCCCACCCGCCCCCCTGGAGAGAATCATAGATTGTGTGGTGCTTCCTGGCTAGACACTCAGTGGGAAGTAGTGTTCGTCTAGGTGCTGTTGTCATGCCAGTACTGGCACCATACTCAGAACCACCACAGACCTGTTTGTGGATCCCAAAGGAGGGTCCTCGTGAACCCACAGAACTGTTTTTAGGAAGATAAAGTAATTTTTCTACATGGAAATATAATAAAGTGGTGGGAGGAACGCATTTTAGATTGATTCACAGTGAAATCATCAAATGAGGATCCTAACCAGCTTTGCCTTTGCAGAAGCATGGGTCTAAAACAGGACCACAGTGAGCCTTTACATCCTCACTGAGGATGCCAATGGATTTTGACAAATGAGATTACCCTCATTTGTGATGAATGTCAGAGTATTTCTGAATGCTGTGTGAAAATGGCAGTATAGAATTAATCTCAGAGATTTGTAGCATACTCTGTTGTTACCTTTTTCCCTACTGAAAGTCCTTGTCCTGGGTATACTGGAGAGAAAGTGGAAATGGAATGGAGAGAGAGAAGATATTTAGAATGGGAGGGCCTAATCGAGTGCAGCTGGACCTTTGAGTGCAAAAGTCATTCACGATTTTTTTAAGTTCTGTCCTGTTAGTGTTTGTTACTGCCTTGGAACCAAGCAACCCGGGACAGTCTCTTAAAGACACTGCACCAGACTAATTGTACCTCCTAGTAGGACGATACGGGCCAGGATGGCAGGCTCATATAAAGGACTGCCTAGGTAACGAGCCAAATGACCCATTTCTGTCTGAATCCTGGGTGGGTTCTGGGTTTTACGTCAAACCCTAGGGAAGTCCTAAATGCTGTTTGATCAAGTGGAAGACAAATATCTACTTCTTTGAATCCCTTAGAGTTTCCCAAATAGTTAAGGTGTGTAGACTGGGGGATTGCTTCCCTGTTGTCTACCTGGTGGTCTTAACTTTGTACCTGTTCATCAGTGAAGGGATACGACTGGGTCATGTCAATGGCTGTTAACGGACTGAAGTTTTTTAACTCACAGGTCTTCTGGCTCATCCCCCCTACAGCCCACAACCTGGAGCTGTACGAGAATTGGCTGCTGTCAGGGAAACAGGGAGACATCTTTCTGGGTGACCGAGTGTCAGATTGCCAGCGCATTGAGCTCAAGCAGGGTTATACCTTCGTCATTCCCTCAGGTAAGCAGGATGGAGAAAAGTGGTGGTTTGCTGTAGCCACGGTCTTTTCTTAAGCTTAAAAAAGAATCAGTAGTGGCCCATCAAGAATGGTTTTGATAGTGGGGTGGGCAGGAAACTGGGGTCCTCTCCTGTCCTTGTGGAGTGCATGCTGAGAACTCACTCAAAAAAAAGGTGGTGCATTGCCACTGACCGTATACATCAGAAATGCCCTGGAGGCTTTTCACATATTCATGTGTGGGCTCCACATTGTTGTTGTTGTTGTTGTTGTTATGTGCCGTCGAGTCAGCCCTGACTCATAGCGACCCCTCCTTGGGTTTCCGAGGCAGTATCACTACGGAC